AGGAGGTGAGAGGATGCACCAGAGACAGAGTGGGGAGCAGAACAAGCAGACTGACTGAAATACACTGCTGAGGGGGAGCAGCGGGTGAGACAGGAGAGGTCTTCTGCACCATGTGGGTTGCTCCCTGGTCGGCCGGGGATCGAACTTGTGCTGCAGAGGTTGTGGATTGCTTCATAGTGCAGTGCTTAACCCCTTGTGCCGCCAGGGAGGTCCTCAGTTGTCATCTTGATTGAACTGTGTAGACAGAAGTCACTTCTGCCAGCTTGTCGAGGTGCTTGTCTGGTGCCAACCGGACTATCAATAGATCCTTGTTAAATCAATGTATGGATTTAATTCTTTCATTGGCTGGCTGAAATTCCCTTCTAAGAAACTACCTCTATTTAATTTTGTTTATTTACTCAGAACTTAAATCCTCAGAATTGATTTGCACTTGGGGAAATGCTGTCATTTGAGTGGACTTGAGTGTTTCCCAGACTGGTTGCTTGTTCTTCACTCTGGCGAAGGAATAAGAGGCTGGAAGGTGGTTTGCCTGCTCTTGGGTTTGTCTGTATCTTGGGTTATTCCTCACAGCCAAAGAGGTTTGTGCAGTAAAAATGGCCTGAACTTAATCAACAAAAGGAGAGTAACACACAGGTTCTGTTGAACAACTTTGACACTTGAAAAACATGTCAGCAGGGCCTCCCCGGTGGCGCAGCGGTTGAGCGCTGGGTTGTGAAGCTGCCCGCAGCCTCTGCAGCGCCGGTTCGATCCCCGGCTGCTCCCCGGCCACCGGAGGAGGGTCCCACATGGCGCGCAGACCTCTCCTGCCGCCCGCTGCTCCCCTCAGCAGTGTACTTCGGTCCTTCTGCCTGCTCTGCTCCCCACTCTGGGTCTGGTGGATTCTCTCACCCTCCCGCGCTTCTGACTGTACCCAGTGCTTGTATAAATAAATAAATAAATCTTTAAAAAAAAAAAAAAAAGAAAACATGTCAGCAGACAGTTCATAAAATAATAAATGGAATGGATTTTTTAAAAAAAGAACAGTGTTCAACATTTAAAATCTAAGTGCTGCTTGAGATGTGATACTTTTTTTTTAATTGACAGGACATTTGATAATTAAAGTCTTTGATACATGTGAAAATCAGTGTTGGTGAAGGTGAACTGCATTACCAGTGGCCATGTAAATTGAGACATGTTGAAAAAAAATTTGTCAGTGGATGTTACATCATTAAAATGTTTGTATGTTTTTGAATTATTACTCCTAGTTTTAAGAATACAGCCGAAGAAAAACCCTATCATGTGAAAAAACTAATAAGTAAAAAGAGTTTCCTGTGTCCTTATGATTGCAAAACTGTGGAAAAACCTACATGAGCAAAATAGAGGAAACATTAGTGACTTGTTCGCTCAGAGTGTTACATAGCCAGAAATGAGTTTCAGAGGTAGAGCTGTATGGAAAGGTAGCTGAGAGATATTAGCTGAAAACAGGTAAGCTGGAAATGAAAGGACAACATAACACCAATTTTGTGTTAGGAGAGAAGAAATTGATATAGTATATACCTTTAAAAAGTTTCTGGAAAATAAGCAAGATGGAGAATAGCATTGGGTAGAAGGAGGTAAGAAACTTTAAAAACATTTTTATATCATTTGTCGGAAATTAAGGTCTTACTTTTAACTTGTGTGTGTTATAATAAAACAAAAATTTATTTATTTATTTATTTTATTTTATTTTTATTTATTTATTTTTATTGTTATATTCCCCATACAATTGCAGCCCCCCCATTCTGACCCCAATCCCTCCCTCCCGCCCCGCCCCCCTAAAAGTGTCTCTGGTTCATAGTTTTTTGTTGATTTTGATTTTCACTTTCTTATAGTTATTCATTTTCCTGGTCCCTTATTTAAGTTTTCTAGATTCCTGCTATGAGTGAGACCATCCGGTATTTTTCTTTTTCTTTTTGGCTTATTTCGCTGAGCATGATCCCTTCCAGCGCCATCCATGTTGCTGCAAATTGCATGTGTTTATCTTTTTTGAATGCTGAGTAATATTCCATGGTATATATGTGCCACATCTTCTTGATCCAGTCATCTATTTTTGGGCATTTGGGCTGTTTCCAAAGCTTAGCTATTGTAAACAGTGCTGCTATAAACATAGGGGTGCAGGTGCTCTTTGGAATTGATGTTTCTGTGTCCTTTGGGTAAATACCTAGGAGTGGAATTGCTGGATCATATGGAAGCTCTATGTTTAGTAGGTCCAGAAATCTCCACACAGCTTTCCACAGTGGTTGGACCAGTTTGCATTCCCACCAACAGTGCAGAAGAGTTCCTTTTTCTCCACACCCTCGCCAACATTTGTTGTTGCTAGTTTTTTTAATATGTGCCATTCTCACTGGTGTGAGATGGTATCTCATGGTAGTTTTGATTTGCATTTCCCTGATGACAAGTGATGTTGAACATTTTTTCATATGCCTGTTGGTCATTTGCATTTCCTCTTCAGAGAAGTTTCTTTTTAGCTCTTCTGCCCATTTTTGGACTGGATTATTTTCTTTGTTGTTGTTGAGTCTCATCAGCTCTTTGCAGATTTTTTTTTTTTTTTTTAAAGGAGAATGGGTGTTTTTTATTTTATTTATTTATTTATTTATTTATTTTTTTATAGAGGCATGTTTTTTTTTATTTATTTATTTGTTTGTTTGTTTTTTGTTTATACATGCACGGGTACAGTCAGAAGCGCGGGAGGGTGAGAGAATTCACCAGAGCCAGAGCGGGGAGCAGAGCAGGCAGAAGGACCGAAGTACACTGCTGAGGGGAGCAGCGGTGATCAGTCCTTTATCATTAGTGTTGGGTGCAAAAATGTTCTCCCAGTTGGTGGGGTTTCTCTTTGTTTTTGTTATGGTCTCTTTTGCTGTGCAGAAGCTCTTTAATTTGATGTAGTCCCAGCTGTTTATCTTTGCCTTCACTATCACTGCTTTGGGTGATGTGTCTGTAAAGATGTCTTTGATGTGCAAATCACGTAGTGTTTCGCCTATATTTCCTTCTATATATTTTATGGTTTCAGGTCTTATGTCTAGTTCTTTAATCCATTTTGAGTTGATTTTTGTGTATGGTGTGAGGTAGTGGTCAAGCTTCATTCTTTTGCATGTAGCGACCCAGTTTTCCCAGCACCATTTATTGAACAAACTTTCTTTGCTCCAATGCATAGTCTTTGCTCCTTTGTCAAAGATTAGTTGACCATAAATCTGTGGGTTTATTTCTGGATTTTCTATTCGATTCCATTGGTCTGTATGTCTGTTCTTGTTCCAATACCATGCAGTTTTGATGATTATGGCTTTGTAGTATAGTTTGAAGTCTGGGAGTGTGATGCCTCCATTCCCTTCTTTTTTTTTCAGGAGAGCTTTGGCTATTCGGGGTTTTTTGTGATTCCATATGAATTTCATCAATAATTGTTCTATTTCTTTGAAGAATGACATTGAAATTTTGATTGGAATAGCATTGAATCTGTATATTGCTTTTGGAAGGATGGCCATTTTAACAATGTTTATTCTTCCAATCCATGAGCAGGGGATGTCTCTCCATTTCTTTGTGTCTTCTTCTATTTCTTTTAACAGTGTTTTATAGTTTTCTTTGTATAGGTCCTTTACCTCTTTTGTTAGATTTATTCCCAAATATTTGATTTTTTTTTTGTTTCAATAATAAAAGGGATGGTTTTTTTGATTTCTTCTTCTTCAGATTTAGTGTTTGTGTATAGGAAGGCTACTGACTTTTGCGTGTTGATTTTGTATCCTGCCACTTTACTGAACTGATTGATGAGTTGAATTAGCTTTTCTGTGGAGTTTTTGGGGTTCTCTATGTATAATATCATATCGTCTGCAAATAGTGATAGTTTGACTTCTTCTTTTCCTATTTGGATTCCTTGGATGTCTTTCTCTTGTCTTATTGCCCTGGCTAGGACTTCCAGTATTATATTGAAAAGCAGTGGTGAGAGTGGACATCCTTGTCTTGTTCCAGATCTTAATGGAATTGCTTTCAGCTTTTCACCATTGAGAATGATACTGGCTGTTGGCTTGTCATAGATGGCCTTTATGATGTTAAGGTATGTTCCTTGTATCCCAAGAATTTCAAGGGCTTTTATCATGAATGGGTGTTGCACTTTGTCGAAAGCTTTCTCAGCATCTATTGATATTATCATATGGTTTTTATATTTCTTTTTGTTGATGTGTTGGATAACGTTGATTGATTTTCGGATGTTAAACCATCCTTGTGTCCCTGGAATGAATCCTACTTGGTCGTGGTGAATTATCTTATGGATACATTGTTGGATTCTGATGGCTAAAATTTTATTGAGGATTTTTGCATCAGTGTTCATTAGGGAGATTGGCCTGTAGTTTTCCTTTTTTGTGTTGTCCTTGTTCGGTTTTGGTATTAGTGTAATGTTGGCTTCATAGAACGTGTTTGGTATTGTCCCTTCCTTCTCAATTTTTTGGAAGAGTTTGTGAAGGATAGGCACTAATTCGTCTCTGAATGTTTGGTAGAATTCATTTGTAAATCCGTCAGGTCCTGGGCTTTTGAATAAAACAAAAATTTAAAAAGCGGTTATGAAGGCTCTTGAAACAGATAAAAATGCTTTTAGGTCAGGCAGAAAGAACAGATTGCGTAGTCGTAGCTAGATGGCAAACAAAAGGGTAGAAAAGTAAAGATGAAAGGAAGTATTGATGGGTCATGTTAAAGTGCAGGGATTATGGTTTTTAAATTTCCCCGTTCACCAATTAAAAATTCACTTAACGTTAATTATGCAAAAATAATTTAAACCTGATAGTGTATACTTACAAATAACATGAAAAAAAGACTAAGTCTTTGTGATCAATGGAATTGCAGGAGATCCTCTGACCCTGTTTTTGTTCTTTCTGATGTTGTTTTTTTAAGGACCCTGGGCAACCTGAATAATGATGTCAAGCCCTTCTTTGTAGTGTCTATTCCTCCCTCCTCTTGGCTCCTTGACTCAGTGAAGGTTTTCTTCCCCCTCTGTGCAGAGCTCACCCACCTTTGGGTTCTTACTGGACATTGATGGAGTGTTGGTGCGGGGCCACAAAGTGATCCCTTCGGCTCTGGAAGCCTTCCGCAGGCTGGTGAACTCCCAGGGCCAGCTGCAGGTGCCTGTGGTCTTTGTCACGAATGCTGGCAACATCTTACAAGATGGCAAAGCCCAGGAGCTCACAGCCCTGCTGGGGGTCAAGGTAAGGAGACAGCCAAAGGCATGGAAGCCCCAGGACCTGGTTCCCATGGAATCTCCACTCTAGCGCTCACTAAGCCTCCTTTGAACACTGCTGGAAAATAAGTTCAGGTTCGAGCCCAGCCTCATGAGTAGCAGCTCACCAGCAGGGTCATTTATATACATGTGTATGTTGAACACGGAAGTTCTGCCCACATGTTTGTCAACTGCACACTCCTGTCTTTCCAGCTGTTTCTTCTGGGCATCAGGATTGTGTCTTTTGGATTGTTACTCCCTGGAGAGCAGGGTCTCATTTGCTTAAACTTCATATACTAGTTGGACTCTAAAATAATATCCCTCTTTATCTGTCAATATGACGTGCCCATCTGGAGGAACCTGTACCCCAAAAGCACCCACGTGCAATTTCATGCTGTGCCCCCAGACTGACACATTCTTCTTTGTTAAGGGCGGCTTTAGTTTTAGGAAACAGTTCTTTGGAACCAAGACAGTAAATTAAATGGCTGTTTGAGTGGGTGACCCTGCTTGAGGTGAATGCAGAGAGTAGAGGAATAAATCTGCTTCCCTCCGTGGCTTCTGGAGAGGATTCCAAATTATTTTGTTGGAATTAATACAAATGCTAAGTCAACAGTTAAGTCTTTAAGTAGAACTGAAAACAAAGTCAGAGGCAGAGTTCCATGGCCGTGACAAAGAACATGCATGCAAACCCTGAGGTTCCAAAGGGGGCTTGAAATCCAGGGGGTGAACTGAGCACAGCAGGCCGGGTGTGCATTCAGAACCCACACCCACAGTGCTTCCTGCTTGCTTGCTTTGTTGTACTCAGAGCCAAAGGAGATGGGTTTCCTCACACCTGTTCAGGTAGTTCTAGCAGTGTTGGGTGTCAGAAAGGACTCCCCCCGCCCTGCTTTTTCTGGGAGGTTTCTTTTTCTTCCTGGGTGAAAGAAACTGGCACCTAGTTCACATTATTCTCCCTCAACTCTTGCATCTCCCTTTGCCCTCCTGTCTCTGGCTGTCCCCGCAGGTGGATCCAGACCAAGTCATTCTCTCTCACAGCCCCTTGAAGCTCTTCTCCAAGTACCACGGGAAGCGAATGCTAGTGTCTGGGCAGGGGCCTGTGGTGGAAAATGCCCGGTTGTATCCTTTTGATGCTTCTTGCTCTGACTGAGGAGGGGCCAGGCCTAAACTTGGCAACCATGGGTGTCGAGGGGAAGGGACATCCCTGGGTCAGGAGTTCCTGTGGCTTAGTGGCTTGGCTGTGCCACAGGAGATGATTGAGGTTCCCCATGTAGGGGATGAAGCTGAGGAGGCAGCAAAGATAGGGATGGTGCAGGGCCCCTGGAGCAGGAGGTTGGGTTAGGCTAAGGTGGGGCTGGAGAGCAACGCGGGTGCGGCACACCTTACCAACAAGTGAACTTGTATGAGGGCAGTGCGGAATCAGTGCAGTTTGGGGAGTTTATTATTTGAGAATAATCTGAAACTGTGTCCCCTTACAATTGCAAGTGGGAATTGAGGATAGGCAAGTGGAGGCAGGTTTTCGAGAGAGCAGGCTGGAGCTGGCCTCCCTCCCCATGGCCTCCCTTCCTGGCGGAATCCAGTTCATCTTTCAGATTCAGTTCAGTTCTAACTTCTCAAGATCTTTGCCCAGCTCAGCAGGAGTCTCCTCGTGTGAACTCCTCGGCCCTCTGTGGCACCCGGTTCAGAGCGCAGGTGTGGATGGGCTCTGGCAGGTACTCCGCCTGAGGACAGAGCTTCTTGTATGCCCGGGTACCCCTCTTAACGCCTAAGTGGGGCCCGGCAGCAGGAGTCGCCCGATAACTGTGGATGCACCCCCTTCTTCCTGTGCAGTCCCGGCCTGCTGCCAGCACCTTCAGGATCAGCACTGGCCTGGCTGGTGCTGTGCGGCTCTCACTGGTTTCAAGGCTTGGTTGGTCCTCAGTCGTGACTTGATGCATAAGAGTGACACCGTTGCCCAGAACTGTCCAGCTTTGCTTCCCTGACCTCACTCTAGACTGGGCTTTGAGAATGTGATCACCGTGGACAAGCTGCGGATGGCCTTTCCTGTGCTTGACATGGTGGATCTGGAGCGGCGGCCGAAGAGCACGGTAATCAGGAGCACACCCCAGGGTCTCCGTGTCCAGTGCTGGCCGCCTGCTTCCTGTGCTGCCCGCCCCCCTCACCTTGCCACCCTTCTGCTCACGGCTGCATCTTGTCCATGAATCCCATAGCTGCCTCCTTGGAGAAGCGTATCTGGCCAGGGGTTTTGTTCCACAGATCTGCACGGATGAGGCAGCCGGCTCCTAAGGCCTTTCTTTCCTGCAGTTTGAAATTAACTGAGAACCCCTCTTCCTACCCCAGCATGTCCTCCAATTTGTAGTTATAATTTTACCGGCCAGCTTTCCCAGTGTTGCTTGGGAGAACCATTAACCTTTGCTAAATTTGCCTCTGCTACCACTTGGCCCTGAAGGGCACCAGAGAGTGGGCCTGCTTGCCATGTGCTTGGCGACTCTGTGACTGCGCAGCCTCTTAGATTCGGCTCCTATTTGACACGCCGATTTGATCTCTCCTCTCTTCTGCGCCGCAGCCACAGAGCCTCCGTGGGCCCTCTTGAGCGTGGCCGCCCGTCTCCGTGGGGCCCTCTTCTTCCTCACGGGACCTTTGTATATGTCACAAAGCCTGTATTATAAGTCAGACCATTGTCAGATTTGACTGAAAGCAGCTAAAAGCAGACGACCCTGAGCTCCCCGACGAGCCCCAGCGCTTGCCCCTGTGCCGAGCTCCTGCTGCCGCGCCCTGTGTGGAGACGGTGCCAGAGCTGGAGCTGACCTCAGGACAGCTTGGAGACTGGCTCCACGTGGGGCGCGCCCTCCCCGGGGTTCCGTGGCCGGTTAGTGGCAGAGCCCACACTGCAGTAGCCTGGGGAGGGGTGGGCCCCAAAATGCTGGTGCAGTGACAGCTTCTGCTTCCTAATCTGACATCAAAAGCTGTGGTCCCTCAGGCCCTGATGGCCGCCTTTTCCTCCCTAGGCTCACCGCGTCCTCAGCTGCGTGATTCTAGACGCTTGCCCCGCCTAGCCTCGTTGGGCCTGCCGGCCAGCCCCTCCCAGCTGACCTTCCTCCGTGGTCTCCTTCAGCCTGTTCCGTGACTAACCCGATCCCTCTCGCTGACCCTCCCTCCCCCGTTCTGTCTGGCTTTTCCTTGGCTTTGGCGGGGCTGCGGGGTCGTCGAGACCTCCCCGGCTTGTCTTCCCTTCCACCCACTCTGGAAACCGGCGTGTGATTCCCTGCCAGTGGGAAGGGACTGTGGCATTCATGGGTCTGTTCTTGTCTCCCGCAGCCCCTTCCCAGGACAGACTTCCCTGCCATTGAAGGTAACCGAGGCCTCTTTGGGGTGTGTCTGCCTTGTCCTCTCTGCTCTCAGGTCCTGGAGGCTGTTTGAGGGTGATTGTTTCCTTGTGGACGGATGACATGGCGGGAGTGTTGGACAGAGGTCATCTGGGCTCTGGTCTTGGCTCTGCCATTCGTGCCTCAAATATTCATTGTCAGGCTTTCCTTCCCCATATCACACGCCTTATTATTTTAATGAAGTAGAAATTGCCATGAAAGTTAGAGCTACAAGTGCAGACCAATGTGCATTTAGATAAAGGTGTTTTATTGGTTTTATTGGTGAATAAATTTTATTTATTCAGAAATTAGGAACAGCGTTGTCACTAGTGAAGTGAGTTTCCAAAATATGAAACAGCTCTTAGTCAAGTTTTGAAACTACAAAGTACTCATATCACTTGACTTATGTGATAGTTGCATTTAAAAAAAAATCAGTGTTCATTAAGACTATACCAAAACTATTTTGTGTTTACGCATAGAAAGGAATTAGAGTCTAGGCTCAAGTAATTATAAACAGGTTTTCTCCCTTTGTGAGAATCAGCTGGGGCACTTGAATGTTAATAGGATCTGGGGTGGGTTTTGATTGGGAGCCTCTGCCCTGAGCATGTGGCATCCTGCCGCCCTCCCAGACTTCGCCCTCTGTCAGTCACTGTGACCATGAAAATACGTCCTCTGGTTTCTAGAAGATCTCCTTGAGTCCACTAGTCCTATAACCTGAGACCTGCAGCTTCCACCTGCTGAGTGCTGTGTGTTCAGCAGAGCTAAGTGCTTTATTAGGTCTGTTTAATCTTCATAACAATAGTAGGTGTTGTTCTTACGGAGTTAAGGAAGCAGAGGCCTGGAGAAGGTAAACAACCTGTCCACATTCATGGAGGCCAGTGGGCAGAGTTGTTGAAATTCAGGTTCTGTCACTCTAGGTCGCCCTCCCCAAGCCCTGTGGTTGACTAGCCCCGGGGTTCACAGAGAATTGGCTGAGGAATTGATCCTTTTGCCCAGAACCTGCAGGGCGAGAGGTGGGGACCACATCAGCCTGCAGAAGGAAGCAGGTCGCTGAGCTTCTCTGAAGTCCCTGTGGACACAAGTGAAATGGGAGCCTTGAGGAAGCTCCTTCCTGGGCCCTGGTGTGGTCAGCTTGGAGGGGGGTGTTGAGTGGCTCCTTCAGGGCTGGCCCAGGCAGCTGCACCCTGGCGGGGTGATGGCACAGCCTAGCCTCCTGCCGGCCACAAAAGGCAGGGCCAGTGACCTGCAGCCCTCACCCATGTCTTTGCTCTTTAAAGGAGTGCTCCTCCTGGGGGAGCCAGTCCGCTGGGAAACAAGCCTGCAGCTGATCATGGATGTGCTTCTCAGCAACGGGAATCCTGGGACTGGACTGGCGACGGCTCCTTATCCCCACCTCCCTGTCTTGGCCAGCAACATGGATCTCCTTTGGATGGCTGAAGCCAAGATGCCCAGGTGAGGACAGTGTCCGGCCTACTTCCAGCTGCTGCCCGGGCAGTGCTACTGCAGTTTCCCACTGTCATTCTGCTCCCCCGGGAGGTCAGAGCCCTTCTTGGGTAGACCTGTGGTTGCCATGGTAACGTGGCCTTCTGGGAGGGGTTTCAAGAATTACTTCATATACTGATGATTAAACCAAAACTACAGTTTACTGCATACAGAAGATACAGTGAGTGGATCTTAACAGAACATGCTCTTTTTGACTAGCAGAACCCAAATGATGCACAGCTTCTGGGGTGTGTCCAAGCAAATTATTCAACTCTTCCTTTCTACAATTCACCCCATAGCACTGGTTCCTTCACTTGTTTCCTTTTTCCTTTAAGACATGGGGCCAGGGGAGAGCAAGAATTGTTCAGAGCAAAGAGAGCCAGTGGGTATGTGATCTTCTCAAAGGCATGTGGGTACTGGCAGGCCCATATTCCCTGCTCAGCTGTGCGAATGTCACCTGTCCTGTCCTGAGGCCAAGCACTGTAGAGCAGTCCTTCTTCTGGCCCAAGAGGTGCCTTCCTGGGAGAGCAGCTGTGGGCTGCCATGCACTGCTTGGCTGTATCTGCAAGGTCACAGTTTACCCCTGCACTGGCTGTCTGGAGCCTTGCGCCTGGGCTGTCACCAAGGGGCGGCAGGGCCACCCCTGCTGCTGGTCCTGCCACCTACTAGCCTCAGAGAGGTGGACGTCCTGGGGTTTGCCCTCGTTACTTTTGAAGTGTATTTCTGCGGCATGGGGTTCGGCACTTCCTCTTAAGAATTTCTTCCAAGAGTTGGGGTATGCTGACAATCGGTGAGGGGGTGTTGCTTATGTAGGCTGTGAACTGAGGAGCAAGGGGGCAAGTTTTAATTTATAAACCATTCTTGAGGTTAATTTTTCACTCAATAATTTAACATTCAAAAAATAGAATTTATTATGTAAGGCACACTGAAGTGTAAATTTTAATATATTGTTCCGCATCAGGATTTGGTATAGCAGTAAGGGATGAAAACCAAAACAACAGTGTCTGGAGCAAACAGCACGTTTCTCACATAACAGAAGTGGGGTAGGCAGCCAGGGCTTGTACGGGAGCCCCGCTGGTCTGGGCCCAGGCCCCTCCTGATTTCCTGCCCTGCAGTACTTCACCGCATAATCCAGAATGGCTGCCTGGGCGCCAGTCATCATAGCAGCGCCCCAGGCAGAGGGAGGAGTCGGGGAGTTAGGGAAGAGCTCCGCCAGCTTTAAGGATGCTTTGGAGAAATCAGCAGCACTTCTGACTTCTTCGGCTGGTAGTGACCTAGTCCCAGGGTTGCACACCAGCAGCAGCAACGGCGGGGGCATGTCATTTTCCTCACCTCAGAGCAATTCGTGTAGCTGCGAATCGGCCCCGAGAAAGCAGGGGAGAGTGGTCAGCAGGCCTCGCCGCAAGTGAAAGCGGAACTTCACCCTCTGTTCCTGGTGCCTGAGTGCCCGGGTTGTGACCATGCCTCCGCCACCGAGCGGGTCACGAATCGTTTTATCGTCGTGGTTTCCTCACTTGGAAGACGTGGATAACCATAGCGCTCTCACAGGGTTTCTCAAGTTAAATCTGATCTTTTGTCTCTATCTGATCAGTTAAATCTGATCAGTTAAATCTGATCTGTTTACCGGGCCGGAGCAGTGCCCAGTAAATGTTTTTAGATAAGCGCGGGTCTTAAACTTTGTAGGTCATGTATGTAATCACTTCTCAGGAGAAGTGATTCCACTTGGACCTGCTGCGTGGGCCCCTGGATGGAACCCCTGGTGTGCAGGATGGAGCTTAGACAGAGCCGGGGCGGGGGCTGAGCTGCTGCCTCTCCTCCGGCAGGTTTGGCCACGGCACCTTTCTGCTGTGCCTGGAAGCCATTTACCGGAAAGTGACGGGCAAAGAGCTGCGATATGAGGGCCTGATGGGCAAACCCAGCGTCCTCACATACCAGTACGCGGAGGATCTGATCCGGCAGCAGGCAGAGAGGCGGGGCTGGGCTGCCCCCATCCAGAAGCTCTATGCGGTCGGGTGAGCTGTGCCCCATCTCCTCCACCCTTCCATGACTCTCCTTGCTCCTCCTACTCACCCCTACCTGTCTCCCTGTATCTGGTGCACACCTCCAGCCCCACCCTCGTCGTTGCTCTCTCCTTCCAACACTGACCTGGGTTTTCTCCTCTTTCCTTTTCCGGTGTGGCTGTCCCTGCAGTGATAACCCCATGTCTGATGTCTACGGTGCCAACCTGTTCCACCAGCACCTGCAGATGGCGAAGCGTGAGGGGCCTGGGGACCTGCAGAAGCAGCGGCCCTCCGCCACGCAGAGCTGTACCTCCATCTTGGTGTGCACTGGTGTGTACAGTCCCCAGGTCCCGGGGGCCACACAGCCTGCCCTGGGCGGGGAGGAGGCTCCATTCCACGGGCACCGGGACTTTGGCTTCAACCCAGGGCTCATGCAGGCGTCCCATGTTGTGCGCGACGTGGACGAGGCTGTGCAGCTCGTTCTCCACAAGGAAGGCTGGACTTTGTAGCAGGGGCCATGCGTGGGGGCAGGACAGCCTGGAGCTCCAGGGAGTCCTGCTTGTGGCCTTCTGCTTGGGTCGCTGGCAGGCGGCCACTCAGGGCCTGCTTCCTGCCGCAGCCCGGCTGGGAGGGGGGGCACTCACTGGCTTTCTCCCCTGCGGGGCAGCAGCCACAGAATCTTACCCTGGGAACACTGGGGGTAGAACTCTCGGGATATTGTGGGCACAGTTCCGTCTGCCACCCTTGGCAGTCTGACCTCAGGCCAGTCTCTTTACCTCTGTGCCTCAGTTTCCTCTTCGTTTGATTAGGGCCTGCTGAAAAAAAGGGAGGCGGTGTGGAGTTATGTGGTAATTTCTGCAAGGCCTTAGCCTACGTGGAAGGAACCGCTGCATGCCAGCCAACCGAGTAACTAACACTCAGAGACTACTTTTTATGGCATTTTAGCTAATTGCCCAGGGACTTTTGGGCTTATTTTTTTTTAATTAAAATGATCATAATAAATATTCATCATGCTGCCTCTTGTGAAGCTCTATCTGGAATGTACTGAAAAGTCCTGTGGGGGAAGGATAGTGGGTGAGTGAGGCAGAGATGGGTGGCATTTCACTCCCATGAGGTGCTGATGTCTCCCTTCCCGCGTCTGTTCTCCCTCCCACCCCCGGCCCACCCCCAGTCTGGACCGCACAGCCCGAGTCTGTCTAGGAATGAGTTCTGCCCAGGCAGTGGGCATATTCTTAGCAGCTCCCCTGATGTATGTAGAAAAGAAGGGTTTTGTTTATGGTTTGTCTAAAAGGAGGAGCTTTTCCTACAGTGCTTCTAGAAAGTGTTATATTCCTCCCTCAGGGATAATCCAGCCCATTTCTGCACCGCCTGTGTCACCCATGATCTCGGCATTTGCCACCTCCTCCTGCTCCGTCCTTGTCCTCATCTTACTCCAGCGGTCGGTCGAGTGCTTGTGACAGCTGACTACTCCTCCCCGTTTCTTGAAGCACGCTTTTTAAAATGATGATATAACTGACAGAACATCGTGTTAGTGTCAAGTGCACGACATAATGATTCCAGTGTCTGTAAAACACTTTACTTGGCTACCTCCGACCTCCTTGATGCCTCTGCTTGGATACCTGGTGGCTGTTTCATGGGGAGGGAGCAGAGGCCGATGGGGAGAGTGAAGTGAGTGGAGGGGCCCAGAGTGGTGTCCTGGGAGCAGAATGAAGAATGTGCTTTGTCAGGGAGCGGGGAGGAGCTGCAGTTCCTAAGTCTCAGAGCTTCTAAGTCTCAGCTTCGCCATGTCCAGGACCAAGCACAGCCCGCCCCAGCCCTCTGGCCGTCCGTCCTCTCGCCCTGGACAGCGGCAGCGCCGAAGGCTTGGAGGCTTGGACTCATTCTCTCCCCTCCTCAGAGCCCTCCTGTGACTCCCCATCTTAGAGGAATAGAGTCCTTATCATAGCACCTTGTCTCCAGCCAGTCTCACTGCTGCCCCTTGGCCCTCACCTGCCACTCCTGCCCATTATTTCTTGGCCAGCTGTGCTGGCTCCTGCCGCTCCACCACACATCTGCCCTCGCCTGGCTTCAGTGCCCACATAGCTCGTTCCTTTTTTCCTTTCCATTACGAGAGGTCCAGTGAATACATCACCTCCACTTCCTACAAAATACAGTACTCTCTCTCCCTCTTACCTGGCCTAATTTTTTCTGTGGTTCTTCCCATGACCACCATTACTTCCTTGTTCTGTGTCTTCTACTAAAATGTAAACGTGGGCACTTTGTTCATAGGGATTTCCAGCTGTGTCCCCACACCTGTGTGGCTGGCACTTGGTAGCTCTGCAGACCCTTAAGTTCTAGGATCCTTCCAGACGAATAGGATTTTTCCTTCTCCCTTGGCAAATATGGTGAAAGTAGAGAGACTGAGGGTCTTTGCAGCAGAGCTGGACTCGACCCCCAGCCCTGTCCTGTTTAGCCATATGGCCTTGGGGAGCCTCCTTCCCTTCTCTCTGCTTTTCTGTCTGTAAAATTGACATTGATACTGTGTGTTTTATACACATTGCTGTAGCATTTTTTTTCAAGATTTATTTATGCATACAAGAGCTGGGGTACAGGCCGTGGGGGGTGAGAGGATTCACCAGAGACAGAGCGGGGAACAGAACAGGCAGACTGACTGAAATACACTGCTCAGTGGAGCACTGGGCGAGACAGGAGAGGTCTGCTGCGCCATGTGGGTTGCTCTATGGCTGAGCAACTTGTGCTGCAGAGGCTGCGGATTGCTTCATAGTGCAGTGCTTAACCCCTTGCGCCACCAGGGAGGACCCATGCTAGTAGCTTTTAGGATTTTGTTCAGCTGCTTGTTACAGAAATCTGACTTCAATGGCTTCACCAAAATTTTAGTTGTTTTTCTAAGGAGGAAGTTCAGAGGCTGGCATTTCAGCCTGCGGAAGCAAGTTGAGGGTGTCAGTAAGGACTGGGGTGCCCCATCCACCACCATCCTCTGTGTGTGTGTGTGTGTGTGTGTCTAGTTGCGAGATGGCGCTGTTACACCTTCAGAAGTCTCACCCACCTCCCAGGGAAGAAGGAGGAAAGGGTGAACAAAGAGCAAATGGAGCTGGACTTACAGTTTAGTAAGTGCTCGCCCAGGTCCCACCAGGACTGGCAGTTCTGTCTGCAGTTGGGTCACAGGGACACTGGGAGCTGCTGGGGTGGGGGAACAGGGCCATGGCCACTCAGTGTTCATAAGGAAGGCTGGTAGAATGGATTTGGGTAGCAAATCTCATAAGCTCTGAGGCCTGGGACCCAGAAGGCATTTGACTATGATTATTTCTTCCAGTGCTTCCTGTCCTCTGAGCTCCTGGGCACTGCAGTCTTGCTATGTACATTTGCATGTCACCTTTTCCAAAGTGTTTAAAACAGACATCACTCATTCATGCTTGACCAGAGCTTCACAAAGCCCCTAATAGAGGGAGAGAATTCTTATCTGCCCCAATTTATAAATGAGGACACCAAAGCAGAGACCATTTATTGATTCTTTCATTTCAGAAACTTCTATCCAAGATCTACAAGGTGCCAAGACCTGATCAGGGCACACAGTGCCCAGTCCTGCCCTTGTGGAGTCACCTTTGAGTGACCATGGGTGCAAAGTCACCCAGCAAATGGAGGGCCTCATTCCAGTAACGAGAGCCCAGTGTCCTCCCCACAATATGCACCAAAGTCCCTCCCCACCTATGGTCAGACCGCTGCTCTTCCTCCACGCAGTGTTTTATGTCCTGAAGCACCTGCTACTGTGGCAACAACCTCAGTGCACTCTCCTTGGGTCAAAGAGGTGGAGTCTGCCAATGTCAGGTGAGTGCAGAAGTGAGGTGGAAAATAACCATGTGGTTCTGTGGGGAGGAGTCTTGCCAGAGTTGAGAATCCTTAGTGCCAGACTGAAGTGACAGATGACAGCATGTGTCTGCCTCTGGCTCTGTCCCTTTGGCTAGCTATCATTCCAGCTCTGTGACCATCTATCCCCCCTCCTTTTTTTTTTTTAACGATTTATTTATTTATTTATACACACACTGGGTACAGTCAGAAGCGCGGGAGGGTGAGAGAATTCACCAGAGCCAGAGAGGGGAACAGAACAGGCAGACTGACGAAGTACACTGCTGAGGGGAGCAGCAGGCGAGACAGGAGAGGACTCTGCGCCATGTGGGACCCTTGCCGGCGGTTGGGGATCAAACCAGCGCTGTAGAGGCTGCGGGCAGCTTTGCAACCTAGTGCTCAACCACTGCGCCACTGGGGAGGCCCCCTCCTTTACTGATTTGGGCATCCTGGGGGCATTGGCAAGCTAGTGCAGAAGACATGTGTCCTGCAGCACTAACCAAAGCCGTGTCCGAGGGCAGAGCCAGCCACTCATCTCCAGTTCCAGTCTAGTCCTTTAGAGACTTTGTGAAAATGGCGAAACCAAAACTCACAACCAGCTGCTTCATTTGCTCAGCCTCAAACTGAATAAAAACGTTACCCTTCTGTGTCTCAGTGGAGCCAAATGAATACAAAACAAAAAATAAGTTACTTTGACAGGAAGTAAGCCCATGTCTTAACAAAATTATTAGCCTGGAGCAAGACTGTACCATCAGGTGCTGGCACTGGGCAGATAAAGTTATCTTGGGTCACCAGTCGTTACCTTGGAGTCAGAACACAGGGTCCCCTCCTCCAGGTTCCCCTTGGTGGCAGCAGCTTGGGGCCTGGTGGCAGCAGCTTGGGGCCTCCTGAGGACACCTCTTGCTGCCCCACTCGGGTTTGGTGAGCAAGTTGGTAATCAGGATTCCAGCAGAGCTTGAGTTGCTGTAGCAACCGGATGCTGCCTTGAGGGCGGAATTTTAAAATATCTCAGCTATAATAGTTTTTTTTTTTTCAGTCCGCTCTGTCACTTCCCCAGTGCTGCCTGGTGCTGCCGAGGCTGGGCCCTGCTGGGACGCCTGTTTCTCTGCCTGGGGCTCTTGGCAGCTTCTGGGGGTTGGAGGTGGGAGGATAGACTCAGGGTGTGAACTGCTGGGAAGCTGAAGGAGCTTTAGCTTTTGCATCCATCCAGGCTCCTCCCACTCTTGGTTCTAAGAGCCTTCTGTCATTTTCTCTTTTGGGGGAGGCACAGATTAGGGTCTAGTTTGCAACTCTCCCCCTCCTACTCAGGCCTGAACCTTCAGGCCAGCACCCCTTCCAGAGCAGCCTTTGTAATCCAGGGGCCTCTCCTTGGGGGAGGGAGAGGGAGGGAGCTCCTTGCTGTTTTTTTCTTTGCTCTTTCTAATTTCCTCACTGGGCTTAATTTATTCACTCAACAGACGTCTGTTGAGATCTGTTAAGCCCAGGGGTAAGAAATAAGAAACTACCTTTGTCACTGTCTTGACCTGGGACTTGGCTCTATTAGATTTCAAACATTTTTATGAAGTTACAGTAACCGTCTTCTGTTGGCAAAGGGAGGGATACAAACCAATGGGCTAAACCAGCACCCAGAAATGCATAGTGTATGAAATATAGGAAAATGTGGTTTGACAAATATTTATTTCATACTCTGGTGGGGGTTGGGTGGCTGCTCACAGCCTTGCCCCTCCAGGTGGTGATCAGGGCTCCAGAACCTTCCATTCTGTGGTGCTGTCGACCTCAATGCGTGGTTTCCAAGGTCTCTGGAAGAGGGAGAGAGAACAGACATCATGAATGATTATGGCCGGACCTGGTAGTGGTTCACACACTTCTGCCCACTGGCCAGGCGTGTAGCTCCAACTGCAGCTATAAAGAGGACAGGGAATGTGGCCTTCTGCTGCGCCTACACATAGGATCTGGGGTCCTTAGCATCAAGCCCCTTTCTTGCCATTTTTCTTTTTACTAGGCTGGAG